ACACAAACACACACAAACACACACACACACATACACACACTCACTCACTCACAGTCAATCAATCAATCAATCAATCAAACCCCTTTTTTGAAGTTTTTTCTTTATTTATTTTCAAATTTTGCATCTGCATTTTTTATAAACACCTCATACCCCTGCAAAAAAAACAAAAATTCATTTATGAAAAAATACAGGTGAACTCAGAGACCATATATATCTCATGATAAAAAATGACAAAAAAAAAATTCAGCTTTTCTTTATTTTTTGTTTTTTAATTTTCTTTAAATCGAATTTAGTTTTTGATTTTTTTAAAATCCTAAACAAAGTCGGATTCCAAAAAAACAAATATGGGGTTGTAGGGCTTAAAATTCCCTACAACCCCAAATTTGTTTTTTTTTTTTAACCTATTATTTAATTCAAGAAAATTCTGGTAAAATCGGGTCCACGGCGCGGACCAGGTCGGCCGCGGACGCGGCCCCATCTGCGTCCGCCATCCGAGATCGGACCCGCGGACGCGTCCGCGGGTGTTTCATAGGACTGATGGTCAGACCGAGGTCACGAACAGGACTCTTGGAGATATTCTCCAAAAGATTGTTCGTGACGACCAGCAGTGGGATCTCCATCTTGCCCACGCGGAGATAGCCTACAACCACGCCGTCTCGCCAGCCACGGAGATGTCGCCCTACTATTGCGACCTCGGCTATCACCCTCGTGTTCCCGCGGACTTCCTTCGACCGTCACAGATGCACCCCGACACGAGTTGTCCCGCGCTAGATGATTGGGTTGCACACATGATGTTGATCATGAAGACCGCACATGAGCACAGAGCCGCTTCCCAGACTCGCATGGTCGTACGTGCGAACTGCTCGAGGATGGATCATTCATTCAAAGTCGGTGATGATGTGCTTATCGACGCCTGCCACTTACAGCTCAAAGCGGACACGCTTCGCAAGTTTTGGCGTCGCTTCTTTGGCCCATGCCGCATCCTCCAAGCCGTCGGTTCTGATACAGCATTTAGCCCGGTCAGCTTCTGTGTGAAGCTGCCCGACTACCTACGCCAGGCTCGTGTGCACGATGTCTACCACGTCTCGTTACTGCGTCCCTACCACAGACCGTCTGAGCGTTTCACCGGACGACCATACGAGCGCCCTCCACCCATCATGGTGGACGGCCACGAGAAGTTCCTCGTTTCAGACATCATTGGTCGCCGAGTCACCAACGACAACCCTCCCCATGTCGAGTATCTCATACGT